GTCAGGGTTGTCTCGACTACACTAGTTAGTGTGGGAAAAGCCAGTCCACTTTGGAGCCACTAGTCCCTAGGCAGGAGGTCCTGAACTGTGTTTGGTGTAAAGACGGGTAGAGTGTGCACGTATTCATTTCTTTCTGTGCTTGACTACAAATGTGATATGATCAGTAGCTTCAAGCTCCTGCCTTGACTTCCTCATAATGATGGGCCGTGACCTGGCACTGCAACCAAATAAATACTTTTTTAAGATGCTTCTGCCGGGGTATTTTATCACAGCACCAGAAACAAAACCACAATGTGTGTAGTGATGGTCTCATAAAGGATATTCAATGTATGTAATTATGACCTCATAAAGGCTTCTTCACTTGAACTCCCCTCTTGCTAACCCCATGTCTCTTTCCACCAAATTTCACTTCCATTTTTCTATCACATGTAGAAACGGTTTATAGGTCCACATGAGATAGAAGACATGTGAGATTTGTCTTTCTGGCCCTGGCTAATTTTGCTTACACAATGGTCATCCATTTTCATGAAAACAGCACAATTTCATCTTTATGATTCAGTAAAGTCCCCTTGTGTATATACACACCACATAGCCTTCAGCTAGTCAACTGCTGATGAACACATAGGTTCATTCCCTACAACTTGACTAGTGTGTACAGTGCTGCAATAAACACAGGCGTGAAGAAAGTGCTCTGTGGTGTGCTGACTTTGAGTCCTCCCTGACCTAGAAAACCTGATTTTTAAGAATGGTATCTTGGCCATATGTTAGGGGTAAGAGAGTAAATAATGAGTCTATGAAGTGAGAAGCTGCTCCAGCCATTCTCATGAGAATTACACTCGGCACGATGATTGATGGTGGTGATGCTGCCATTGTCCTCCTCTGATACATTGCAAAACGATACCACAGTTTTTGTCTCCTTTGGCACCCTCCGAGCTGCAGCTCCTTCCTTTTCCCATGTAAGGAAGGGAACATTTGCATGGATAGCCTGGAGACCAGAGGACAGGGATCTGTCCCTAAGAATTAATTCTTCTCAGGAAACCTAGAGCCAATTTAGAATTTGGGATAAAACATATTCAAACAGGCCCACCTATCCTTGCCAAAGCACAGTTCACAAGGCATTTTGTGAAAACAAAACTAGTTTTGCTCCTAGATAGGATCTCCAAGAATCTGATATGTCATTTGCTCCCCAACAAATATTTTTTATATTTTAATTGAATATATGACTTCACACATTCTAGACAAGTGCTCTAATGATGAACTGTGTCCCAAGCCCCACATGTCTTTTCTGATACTGTGTACCTAAAAGCATCACTATACACTTCCCAAGATTTGACCGCAGGCCGTCTACTGCAAGCATTCAGTTCTGAAGTTTTTTCCCTCCCCATTTTGCAAATAAATAATAACCGCCCTTGTGTTTCTCTTGACTGGCCCTCTACCAATAACTATTATTTTGATCTGAACCTCACACACTCTTCAATTCAATGGTAAAAAGGAGCACAGCCTTCCTCCTTATTCACCCAGCCTTCCTTGATATGGTTCCTAATGAGAAGGGGGAGATAATGGTGGACGGGTGGATTGAGAGTTACTGGGAGACAGGAAGTCATTGTCATCAGTGATGTAGCTACTTGTGAGTTGTGCTCTAGTGGGTAGCTTCCCACTCGGGCCCTGGTTAAACCCAGGGGGCCACAAATCAGAAACAGACGGCATGGAAGTAAAGTGGGGACCTGATGAGAGGAAGGGGGCGGGTAGTGCAGGTGGGAAGAGGCTAAAAAAGGATGGAAGTAAGTAGGGCCAGAATGTGTTATACATGTAAGGAGTTGTCAAAGAATAAGTAATTTTTTTTTAAAGAACACCTTCAAACTTCCACCAATCCTCTCCCAAAGCCTCAGTGGATGGGAGATAAACAAAAAAGAAGTTCACCGTCTATAAGACAGAAGGAGGATGAGCGTCTTTGGAAGAGTCCAGAATTCTGAAGTGACTCTTTGCAATAATTATCTAATTGAGCAGGTCTCCTTTATTTCTACAATTAAGCTATTCAGCTGTTTGTCCTCCTTACAGAAGAGGACAGAGTGACTGTTTAGGAGGTCCAGGAAGAAGGGAAGAAGGCAACCTGCCTCTTCATCTGTTCAACCAAATGTGTTTGAATTTGTAAAATCCCTGCCCTCCAGAAACTGGTATCCTGGGATGGAGGGTAGAGTGTGTGGGACAGGTGATATGTGTGATCACAGACACAGCAAGGTGTCAGCTCTAAATCACACAACAGGACAAAGGACCACTTCCAGCATGGGGAAGGGAGTAAGAGCAGCCCTAGCAAAGTAAAAAACAGAGACAGGATAGTTCTGGAAAACGCCTGTCACTAGAACGTGGTTTGTGAGGCAGGTGAGCATAAGAGGAAAGTCAGGAGAGTCCAGCAGCGGCTCAGCGGGTGGCAGATTTTGTTTCAAGTAGGCAAAATTCTTCCCACGCGCGCCATCTTGGTTTTTTTCATCTTCTTTTTTTTTTTAATTTTTTTTATTCATTAAAGATTTCTGTCTCTTCCCCGCCTCCACCTCCCATTTCCCTCCCTCTCCCCCAAACAAGTCCCCTTCCCTCATCAGCCCAAAGAGCAATCAGGGTTCCCTGCCCTGTGGGAAGTCCAAGGACCACCCACCTCCATCCAGGTCTAGTAAGGTGAGCATCCAAACTGCCTAGGCTCCCACCAAGCCAGTACGTGCAGTAGGATCAAAAACCCATTGCCATTGTTCTTGGGTTCTCAGTAGTCCTCATTGTCCGCTATGTTCAGCGAGTCCGGTTTTATCCCAGGCTTGGCGATGAAAGGAGACAGAGACAGAGACCCACATTGGAGCACCGGACTGAAATCTCAAGATCCAAATCAGGAGCAGAAGGAGAGAGAGCATGAGCAAGGAACTCAGGACCACGAGGGGTGCACCCACACACTGAGAGAGTGGAGATGTTCTATCGGGAACTCACCAAGGCCAGCTGGCCTGGGTCTGAAAAAGCGCCATCTTGTTTTAAGTACTTATGAACTGTAGAGAATGCATGGGAAGGGGTGAACCTGGAGAAAGACCAGTTGGGAAGCAGTTAGTGTCCCAGGGAAGAGATGACAGCAGCTTGGGAGAAGTGAGTGGATATCAGAGAGTCTTACAAGATGAGTCTGAGGCGGCGAGGAGAGAAAATCAAAGGCTGATTCCTGCTCTTCACAGGAGGAAGCAGCAGGGGAGACGGAAGCATAAGGGGGGGACTATGAAATGGACTGGACTGGGTGCAACTGGTGCTCGGAGGCCCTGATTCCACACCTTCTCCAGGACACCAACTGTATCTCTGCCCAGGCTTCTTTTCTGTGCCCCCTGTCGTGCACATGTTATAAGGGATAAGAATGGACACACCACTTCTCTTCTGAACCTTAGTTCCCATCTACGGAATGGAAGGACTAGGCTCACGGGGACAGAGAACGTTCCTCCTCCCCAAGATGAACAAGTTCGTCTCAGTTTCACTTAGATTTGTCTGCCTGTAATCTGTATGCCCTGTTTTGCTAAGGAAACTCTGAACCCCCAGAGGCTAAGTCTTCCCTGTACCCTGTGCCCTTGTCTGTGGCCTGTGCCTGGTGCCCTGTGCCACGTGTCCTGTGTCCTGGTATCATCCACCAGCTATAAGACTCCATTGGGACTGTCAGTTCTTGTGAATATGAGTCAGTGTTTTCTTGTTACTCCTGCCATCCTTCTACTACAGGGCTCCCGGAGGCTGGAAATGGAGCACGTTAACCCAAAACACAGTAGACACTCTGACATCCTAGATTAGACATTTCCTTATTCAGTGTCTCACTGGGCAGCATTTGGAGTCAAGGAGGAAGAAGAAAGCTCTTGGGAAAGAACACATGGCTGGAGTTAGCGTAGCTCACAAGCTTGAATATAGAATGTTGTTCCTGTGTCTCATGGGTGGGGTGTGTGTGTGTGTGTGTGTGTGTGTGTGTGTCTAAGTATACATTCATGCATGAGGATCAGCTGTGAGTTTCTCTGTATGGTATATGTCTGTGTATGTATTTGTACACAGAGCAATGCATATGATAATATGTATGCTAGCATTGAATACCAACACCTGTATGCATGCTTCTGTTTGTTAATTCACATATCTGTTCACGTGTGTCAGTAAACACATACACATGCACACATTTTCTAGTGGCACATACATCTATGATGGAATATGTAGATATGTCATATGAACCTGTGCTATTGTTTGTGTACTGATTAATTAATGGAGGCAGAACATAGAGTTTAAGAGCATGTGCTCCAAAGACTGCCAAAGTGGGCATAAGGCCTGACCTCAATATTAAAATCTATAACTCCCCAACATCTTTAACTCATCTTTAAATTGGACAGAATAATTGTACCTACCTTTGGTATTTAATGTGAAGGTAGGATGCACATAATGCATAAAAACATTGATCATTAGCTGGGCGGTGGTAGCGCATGCCTTTAATCCCAGCACTCGGGAGGCAGAGGCAGGCGGATCTCTGTGAGTTCGAGGCCAGCCTGGTCTACAAGAGCTAGTTCCAGGACAGAAACCAAAAAGCTACAAAGAAACCCTGTCTCGAAAAATACCCCCCAAAAAATATTGATCATTATAAAGTTATTCATGCTAGTAATAAATGTGTAAGTGGCTGATCTAGACGGTTTAAGTGAGACTTTCTGCATGTAAAGATAGGGCCTTGGGCGCATGACCATAACAACCTTAGCCTGCATATCTATTAGACTTTGGATGTTAGTATAGTCTGAAGCATTGAGGTGCACAGGACTGGCAACCAAGGGCAGGTATACATGTATTTGAGTGTGGTATTCTTAAGGATGTTCTGTCAGAACCAATCTGAGGGAAAGAACTGTGTTTCATGTATTATCTTAGCTAGAGCACAGGCCTGAGATTTAGCAGATATTTGGTACTGCTAAATTTGGTATTGACAAAATGTATATACGAACAAAGGGGAGGGATGAGTCAGAGACTATTACTCTAATAGCATGTTCATTTGTAGGAAAAGTAAAAAGCAGTACAACTCGTTACCTAGCTAGCTTTATGACACATAGGTGGCTAAATAAGTTGATAAGTAAATGAGATGGAGGGCTAGACAGATAATAGACAGATAGATACCAACAGGCTTATAGACAGCAGGTATTGTACATCCAAGTTTGGCTCTAGTTGGGTGGAATTCTGTTGACTTCCTTTGGAGGAGATACTCAAGTTCCTACTTCCCAGGAATCCACAGTGTTTTGCTCCTGGTTACTTTATGTGTTATTTTGTGCTTGCTGTGAGGTCCTGATGAAAAGGGAGTCATAGATGGAAGAGATAAGCCTCCTACCTAACAGCAACAGGAGTCTGTTTGCTTTCACCTCAAACATTGGGGTTCATGTAGAATTATACTTAAAAGAAGAACTGTGCCATTTAAAGATTTAAGAACCTTGTTCTGGCCCCAAACCCTTTATTCTACTGAAAAGAGAAAGTGGGCCATTGAGAGAGGAGACATTTAAGATGTTCAAACCTCTGCTGTAGGGCAGTTCCTACCATACCATTGTCTTTGGAATGCAGTAGACAAAGACCTTAAAGCTTTCAGAGAAACAGAAGGTGCTCTCCTCATGGCCTGTGGGATGTTGACCCACCCATGAGGTTAGTCTCATTGTCTACTTAGTGTTTGTTGGTCCCACTTACCCAGTCTCAGTTGTAGGGAGCCAGGAAACACCCTCATTCAAACAGCAAATTGGATCGTCCTAAGACAACGTGAGTGGGAGACAGCAACATGCTAGACCATCGCTGCCGCTCTTTGAACTAGGAAGGTATGCGCAACTGAAGTGCAGGAGACGTCCAAAGATGTGGGATTTTCCTCTATATGCTTGAGTACCATTAATGAATAAAGAAACTGCCTTGGCCTGTTGATAGGGCACAACTTTGGTAGGCGGGGAAAACTAAATGGCAGGCTGGGAGAAAGGAGGCAGAGTCAGACGGATGCCACGGATCTGCCACCAGAGACGTGCTGAAACTTTGCTGGTAGGCTACAACCTCATGGTGATATACAGGTTAATAGAAATGGGTTAAATTAAGATGTAAGAGTTAGCCAATAAGAAGCTAGAGCTAATGGGCCAAGCAGTGTTTTAACTAATAAAGTTTCTGTGTGATTATTTTGGTTCTGGGAGGCCAGGACAAACAAGTGGTTCCTTGCAACAGATAATAAGTAGATGTACCAGCTGTGTAGCTTCAGGAAGACTGAAGGATGGAAAGATGGACAAACCGGGGTGCATCATGGCTTCCGCAATCTGATTCTTAGTTTGTGTGCAACTGGGATGTACTCCTCGCCCCTGGCCTTCTTGCTTTGATATTATCACATTATTTAATACAATCTCTAGAAATCATAAATTAGTCAGACTAGACTGTGATACACCTACAATTATTCCCCTTTTTGCCTGAGTTAGTTGGAGTAAGTCTCTGTGTTTTGGAACCCAGATCCTGTCTGAACAAGGCTGTGCAGTGGAAACTCTCAGCAGACAGGCATGCCTAGCACCCAGGCTCTGACTCTGGCTTCTACTGTTCTTCCAGAAGTCAGCTTGGAGAAGCCTCATGTGTATCTGTGAGGAAAGGAAGCATTCCTCATTGGTCAAGTCTTTGTAAAGTGTTTTGGGATAATTAGTTAAAAGTCTTCAGGATGGGACATCACCTATCTTCTAGGTTTTGGGGCTAGAGTCCCACAACAGCATTGATGTATCATTTTCAGTCTGCCTTCCCCTGCTTAGTCCTCCAGAGCAAGCACACCACAATGCTAACAGCAAGGGCTATTCTCCACGGTAATGGCAGTTCTGCATAAAAAAAAAAGCAGTTCCTCCAGCATCTGGGCCCCAAGTGTAGAGATGTGTGCAGCTCTAGGCGCCATTGCAGTGGTGAAGGGCATAGATGAGTGGTGGGTCTGGTCTCCCCTTTGGGAGTCCTCACTCCCCTCCTCACAACCGCATGTTCCCACGTGACTGTTGCCAGAATGAAACACAGCAGAGAGAATGAATGCCAGGGTCAATGGGTTTCAATTCACCAGCTTTCAGGACACGAGACATTTAGGAAGAACCATGGCCTTTCTACCCACTCACAGGACACCTCTATCCAGGAGTTCTAATATGCATGCACTAATTACTAGCATCAAAAAGAAACCAAGCGGGTCTGGGTTCTCTTTCCAAGCCCCACTAATGAGTGAGCAAGCTGGCCTAGGACAAACTGGCAGTGTCTCAACACGAGAAAAAGAGGAACATAACGGAGCATGCTCTTCCCTTTCTCCAAACCCAGCCTAGCCTTGAACCAGGGCTGTCCACATGATGATACACAGAGGGATCCAGTTCTACTGAAGAAGGCTGGATGAGAGCCATCGCCAGAGGGAAGAACATGAGCTTCTCAGCCAGATGCCCAGCTGGCCTCTCAGAACAGCCAAGGCAGGAAGACAGGCAGGAAGAGCATGGGCCAGGCCATCAGGAACCCTGAAACATAAGGGACATGAGTCAAGTGTTGAGCTTTGGAGCTTAGCAGCCAATGCCAGCTGGCCTCCCTGTCACTTGCTGTGGAAGGGAAAAGCAACATCGCCCTAGAGTTGGTTGGGACAACAACTGCTTTTCCCATTTTCTTCTGGGCAGTTTTCTCAGCCTTCTTTGAAGATAGGTGGTACCATCTGATTAGATCTTGTCAGTGAAATAAGGATGGAAGTTTTCAATTCCATTTGTAGGACTAGTCATAAAAGCCTCCCTCATGCTCTCTCATTTGCCAAGGGTCCGAGATCTGACTCACGGAACACAGTGATGTGGCCAGGAATTACCAGAGGGTAGGAGGAGCCTGGCTTTCTAAAGACTTCCTAGGTCAGAACTGTATCCCCTAGCACAAAGGCATAGATTTAGGGTTATTGGTTATAGCACTAGCATTACTTACAGTGACTACGAATGCAGAGGCAGGAAGGATTAGAATGTGCTATCTCTGAGGCTTGACTAGCTAGCTAGGAATCTTAGCTCTGTAACTACCTGGGTAGACCTGAATAAGACATTACCCTTCTTGGTGCCCCAAATGCCCTTATGTACAAAAGGTAACTATTAATCGCACCTATTGATTTATCAGATTTCAGAAGGTTTAAGTGAATCAATTTATATCAAGCATTTGGAATATCATGTGTGGATTGAGAGCTATAGTTCAGTGGCAACATGTTTGCATGGCAAATGTATGGTTTTAGGTTCAATAAATAATGCTTCAATAAGATAAAATATAAAATATGTGACTAGAATGTGGTAAGTATTGTGTGAATGATGGTTTTGAAAATTAAACTGTGATATCTAAGATTTGTGTGTGTGTGTGTGCGTGTGTGCACATGCGCACATACACACGTGTTTGTGTGTGTGTGTGTCTTCTGCACACTATTTAATGCTCAGTGTTAAGGAGGGGGAATATTGAATGACAGTTGTCTTGTATAAACATGTCGACCCCTTTGAGACCACTGCCAAATCACAGTGTCCCCCATCCCCAGCAATTTGAAAGTCACTTGATGATGCCCTAGAGTGTGAGGAAGGGAGTGTGATTCTCAGGAACGCAAATGTATGACAGTTTTTACACTAAGACTTAGACTTTTGATAGTTAATCCTGAAGCCTCAGAAGTGATTCTGAGTGATTGCAAACTATGGGAAGCACAGAGCCCTCTTGTGGTGGCTGTTCCCTCTCAGCAGGCTCCATACTTCTCCCCTCGAAGGCTCCAATGTCTGCATGCAGCCCACCTGGGAAGTTCTGAGCAAGATGCTAGCCTGAAGGAGTGGTGGAAATGAAAGAGACGTGAGGTCCCTGACTTCTAGGTGCTTTTATTCTGTGCCATAAACATTTCACACAATGGGTCTTTCTTTTCTGAATGCCATCTGAAGTTACCACTGAACTGTACTTATTTGGGAAATACTTAGCCTGCTGCAAAGTTGAGGATTTGAACACAAAAAGAATCTTTTCCCATCTGGGTTCACTAATATCTACCTTTCAGAGGATAGAAAAAAATGTATTTTCCATACTATCCAAACCATACTCTTCAGTGTCTCTGGTATTAAATTCTAAGTCATTCATCAACACCCACTCAGGCATATCTGTGCCATGTGAAACTCTCTTAACCATGTCTGGTATAGTTAATTAGGTTCCTATGCGCTCAGGCTCTGTCCACCACTTGACACTTAAGAGCCCATGCCTTGTCTTACTTATTTGTTCAGCTCTTGTTGCCTCTGCCTGGAGGGTTCCACTCATCTTGTAGTTCCTGATCTAGAGACATTTGCTCTCTTGGTCAAATATTATTTCTTCTAACACTTCTGACTACCCTATCTTCCTACTTAGATCACTACACCATCAAACATTGTTTGGACACATGACCATCCAAAACAAAGATTCCATTTCTCATGTTCATTTGAGCCAGGTGTAGCCACATAGTTAGATAATAAACAATGAGATATAAATGAAGGTGTGAGATGCCAACTGCCAGAACGTTCCACAATGCTCACTGATTTCCTTCATGTTCTTTCTCTTCAAGCCTGGCTGTTATCTTGGACCATAAAAATGATGGCCACAGGCCGGGCAGTGGTGGCGCACGCCTTTAATCCCAGCACTATAGAGGCAGAGGCAGGCAGATCTCTGTGAGTTCATGGCCAGCCTGGTCTACAAGAGCTAGTTCCAGGACAGGCTCTAAAGCTACAGAGAAACTCCGTCTGGAAAAAAAATGATGGCCACGTCTGAAAGAGTAAGCTGGAAGAAGTTTGAATCTTTGATGACTTGATCATGGATTTTCTTACCCAAAGATTTCATTTATGTGTTAGAGAAATAAACTTCTCTCTGATTTAAGACTTTATTACTTATGCCTATAGCTTCCTATAATACTACCCATCTTTTATTTCTAATTATTTTTTTTGCTTTTTATTATCTATTTATCATCCTGGAACATAAATTCTACGAGGGTAGACCCCTGGCCTGTCTTGATCAGCAATGCATTATCAGTTTCTAGAACAGTTCCTGGCACAGGGTAACACTTGGAAAATACTTGCTGCTAAGCAAGTGTCTCCTCTGCTAGATTATAGAACCACCTTTGGGTTAGCATCATTTCCTGAGTCAGGACCCCAGAACAGGGCCTGGCACACTGAAAGGGGCACATTGATGTCCAGAGGGTTGGAGGACGGAAGGAAAGAGACTCAACAGTGCTATGAGATCATAAGGAAGCCATGTACCTGCAGTGCCAGGAGTGCCACTTGAGGTCTCGAGAGTCTGAGCACCTGTGGGCAAGAGCAGAAGGTGAGGATCTCCTTGGGCATCCTCTGATGGCTACAATCTTGCTCCCAGCCCTCCTGGACTGGATCACCACCCCCACTGGCAATCCTCACTGTGGAGGCCTTGGTGACTTGGCAGGTGCATATCTAAGAACATTCTATGCAGCTTCTGTCTAATCTTCCTAACAGGTTTGTGAAGAAAGTCTCTTCACCTCCCATTTGCCTGGGGGGGGGGGGGGGACAGAGGCTCAGTGATGTCAAGGAACTCGCTAAGTTGATTTTTTTCAGTGTCAGAGTTGAGATTGCAGCTCCAGCATGACAGTCACTTCCCACCATCAGCTAGAAAGGGTTGAAAGGTGCCTAGGGTGTGGCAAAGTACCGTTTCGGGTGTGTCTGTGAAGGATTTTCCACTGATCAGCTCAAGGAATAAAAGACTTCCCTGAATGCGCATGTAACTATTCTACAGCCTGGACTAAAGGGGAAATGGGGAGAGCTCCATGGATTCCCTTCCTCTCCCTCCCTTCTCCCTCCCTCCCCTTTCCCTCCCTCACCGCAATGAATCAAACAGCTTTGTTCCACCTCATTCTTCCTCTGTGACCTTCTGCCTGGCTAGAGGCCCCAAAACATGGAGGCAAGCCACCATAGACCAAAACCTCTGAAATCATGAATCCAAATAGGTCTTTCCTCTTTAGTTCTTTCCCCAGCAATCCAGTCACCACAATGAATAGCTAACAAGACCTGTGCGTTTGCCCCAAATCCCCCCTACTCAAGTTGTCCTGTGATGCTGCACAGGGCTCCAAGTTGAGAGCTCGGTGAGGGGGCAGGGCCACTCAAGGCAGAACTTCCTCGTGAGACAGCTCAGCCTGTTCATCCCAGAGGGAGAAGAGGGACCAGTGGTGACCGCCTGAGGTTGCCATGGGCAGCCGGGCTGATGATATACATAAAGCTGTTCAGCACAGAGTGCGGATAAAAATACTATTATTTGATGAGAATTCACATTACTGCATCTTAATTTTGTCAAGGCAGAAAGCTCTTTCTTTCTTGGCAGGAGGGGCTCTTGCTCCTCCAGTCAGGTGGCAATAACAACCACGACAGTACCACACACACTTGTGTGAGATGAATGAAGCATGAGAGTGTGGTTGCATTGTTTCCCCCATTTCCTATCTCCAGAGGATCGTGGCTAAATTTTGGAAAGCGCATTCACCCTGCTAGAGAGGAATTACAGGACCCCGGGCCAGCTGTGGGGAAAAGCGGTGAAATCAGACTCATCTGGGTTCATTCTAACTCCTGCCACTCATAAGCAAGTGATCTTAGGCGAGTCTGTTAATCTCTCTGAACCTGGAGTTCTAACAACTAAATGAACACAGTCGTGGGAGGATTAAGTATATTGATGAATGCAAGAGTTACACCCAGCCTCTATTACCCAGGCGCCGCCATAAATGCCAAGACAGCTCCACTCCATAGAAAGACACATTCACAGCGATGGGTGCAGCGAGAAAGAAGAAAAGCCCGGAGGGGGGGCTGGCCTTGGTGACCCCAAGCATCCACAGGTAATTATTGATACTTGGTCAGCTGTCCTTGCACCAGGACTCGCATACTTACCTTTCCTACTGATGGGTCCTAAGTCCAGAACCTGGGCCAAGTTGATGCCTGGTCCACTGCTGCGGAGCTGACTTCTAGAGCAAGACTGTAGAGACATAGGACTCCTGTTATATCAAAATGTAAATACCTGGTTCCTATGTGCAGGTTGTCAAGGGTATGAACATCTGTGAACCTATGGCCTAAGCACTTGGTTAACCCACCCTATGGCCTTCTTTTTGATGCTATGGTTTCTTCCATCCGTGAGAATTCAGTCACGCTTTAACATACCTGGGTTTGACTCTTATCTCTATCCTCTCCTGTATAATTGGGACAAATGTCTTTATCTATCTACGATCAAATAGTTCACATCTAGTTTTATTTAGCTAGTTATTCATACATTCATTTATTCATTTATGCATAGAAGCATGTGTGGAGCAAAGGACTGATATCAAGTGTCTGTCTATATTGCTGTCATCTTCTTTTTTGGTCAAGATCTTTCAACGAACCTACAGCTTGTCCTTTTGGTTAGGCTGGTGATTTAGTGAGACCCCAGAATCCTGTCTCTGTCCTCCCAGAAATTGGGTTACAGACAACGCTGGCATCCTAGTTTTCTCATGGGTGCCGGGGATCCAAACCCAGGTCCTTCAGCTTGTATAGTGAGCATTTTAGCATTCAGATCTCCCCAGCCCTGCACATTTGGTTTTTAACATTAACATGAAGTGTGACAGCAACATATAGACACATTGTAAGCACCCAAGGAATATCAGCCATTCAAACATTGCCCATTAGGTGTGAAAGTATGGGCTTAGGAGTCACAGCTCAAATGGGGAACACTCCAATTTGATATTAACCTGTAACATCTAGCCCTATATGGGGCTGTGTTAGGGACTTCTCTGAGCCTCAGTTTCTTTATTTGCATCGTAGGCTTGATTAAATAGTCATTGTGAGAGCTCAAGTAGATAAGATGCAGGCGCTTTAGTGTAGGGCCTGCCCCAGAGAAGGGACTGAGAAAGCCTCGCCACAGGGTCACATTTGCCCCTCACTGAAAACCTGAGGTCCAGAAATAGTCAGCATTTGGGAGTTTCTCAGATTTTGGAACCTTCACAGTCTTTACAAGTTAGTCATTTATAATCTGAGGATCTGCAACCCAACCTTCTACAAAACCTGAAACTTTTTGAGCTTCATCTTGTCCCTCAAAAACTTTAAGAGTTTGGATCATTTTGGGTTTGAAATTTTTGAATCAATGATGCTCAAGCTGTAACATCGTAATCATTCATAACAGATGTTATGCCAAGGAAAATTGGTCTGCCTTATGATGAGACAATAATTGCTCATAAATAGGCTTTGGGGATGCTCAGCCTAGACCTTATTTCTTCTTTCTTCTCTTCCTTATATCCAGCCTCCCACCCATCTGTCTTTCCACCTCTTCAAGCATCCATCCATCCATTCAACCAACTTCCTTCCTTCCTTCCCTACTTCCTCTCCTTTTCTTCCCTCCCTCCCTCTCTTCCTCCCTCCCTCCTTCTCTCCCTCCCTCCTCCCTTCCTTCCTTCCTCCCTATCTTCCTTCCAATTATGCATTTATTCATCCTTCTTTCCATCCACGACTCCAATAAATAAATGTAGACAGCCAACTGGGTACCAATCCAAAGAGACACTCACTGGTTCACACTCTTCATTAGTGGAGTCACATAGGTTCACCTCACAATGCAGGAAAACTAGGTCGTAATTTCCAGCAAACATGAACATCTGTACTGAGAACCGGCTTTCTGAGGACACCCCATTCTCCTCCACGTTGATGGTGGAATCTTGTTGATTTGGGCAGCTAGGAGAATAAAAGGGGCAAAGGTGTAACTTCTAACCCCACACTGGAGAGCATTAAAGAGCCCTCTGCCCCAGGTTCTGTCCATCATAGTCTCATTTTTCTAGTCTGTCTTTCCGCAATAAGTTTGTATGGTTTAAGTTTTGGGGTGCCCAGTTTCTAGGATGAGTCAGAAGATTCCAGTCCCCATTTCTATGTAAGTGATTCGGGTCTGGTTAATCATCCTTATTGTGCCTCCATGGTCCAGTTTTTTTACCTCCATACTCTTTTTAATTTTTTCTGTATTCTTGAGTATTCCATACACATGTACAATGAAATGTGATCATACCATCCATTTTCCTCCGACCCTCCATGCACCCCTTGATTGTAAAGCAGAGACAGGCATGTCCATTTTATATAATTGAGATGAGCACTTAGGAAGACGACTGTGTTGCATATCTCACTACAGAGCTGGCCACACAGCTGAGCCCAAACATGAATTTTACTAAGCACCATTAATATTTGAATTGTAACCTCCAGGCAGGTATTTCCTTTGTTTTATCATTAAATGACATACAAGAATATCTTGTCCTGTAATATTCATATATCACATTCATTTTAATCAATATAAACATTTATATAATAGGCCATTATTACTCAATTGAACTATATTTTAACAGTAAACATAATGGGGAAGTTATCAAGAATACTAAGATGGGAAATTATTTGTATTTATTTACCCCACTCATCCAGCTTGTTTTAATACTTTAGGTTAAAATATCAGGAATAATCTTCCAAGATCAATCAGGACGTAAAGGCACATTATTTCCAAATAAAGTGAATCAATTTGCACTCAGCCAGCAATGGATGAGACAACATTTTTATCAAAACCTTAGCTACGAAAAGAACAAAACAAAATAAACAAAAACAATTAATCCCAGAGTGTACTGATACCTGTCTCTGATGATGAAGTACTTCACGGGGTCATTCTTATCTTTTGTGGGTGTGGCATAGCAGTTCCTCAGCAACAGCTTGAACCTGGAGTCATCTCCTCTATCCAAGATGGCACCCACATAGAGCATAGACTCCACCTGAAGTTCCACTTGGGCCTCTTCATACGGTTGTGTGTAGCTCTGGTCTCGGAAGAGGGCCATCCTGACGGTGAACTCTCCTGCCCCACCCACATCAATATTCAGGGAACTGAGACGAGGAAAACCACAAGAGTGGAAACATCAGGCTTTGACAGGAAAGAAGCAACTAAATCAAGCCTTACACAATGACAATATTATGGAGAAAATGATGTATCTCTGATCTGTAAATGAACTAGTTGATAATCCATTGAAACAGACCACTTATTGGCATTTAAGCTCTGAACTTGACAGACTAGCAAGCCTGTCTCCAGGATTTGCGCCCATTCCCCCTGTGTGGCAGCTACATCAGACTCTCACTCAAGGAACACGGGTTAGTACACAGCACCATCTTGTCACCTGGGCAATGGGGTTTGGGATCAGCTCTTACAGGCTCACAATTTTTAGCCTTATGTCTCTTGTGTCCACCCCACAAGCTTCAGCCGATCCCAGTCTGAACAAGATAAATGACTTTCATTTTTATATTTATGAACGTGGGCTCCAACACGAGATAGCTTGAAAACCTTTGAACTTTGACATTCTTAATTCTTCGCATCCTGCAATTCTGTGAGCCCAGGAGGCAATTGGGGGAATGAGACAAGCACCCTGGATTTCTGGCTGACAGTTTAGAAAAACCCCTTGGCAATTCTAGAGTTGTATAAAACCTAGTTTAATGAACTTTGTTCTGGGAAAAAGGGGCAGTGGTAAACAAAATGCAAACAAAAGCCTTGCCTGGATCCAATCACACCAAACCATTGTTTCACTCTATTTCTTGTGGGTATAGGTGCCGTTCTTCAAAAGTAGACTTGACTTAAATCTCAAGCCTACAGTAAAGCCTCCTAGACCCCTTCTGATCTCTACCACGCAAAGATCAGGTCTGGGATCCATGCCTACTGACCCAAAGTACCCTATATTTCTCCTACATTGCATTATCTGATTTGCAAACGATTATCAATTATGACTGTTGATATGATTGGTTGTTCGCTGCCTTTCCTTCAAGATGAATGAACTTGTCTGAAGTTTTTGCTTCCTGAGCATATTTTGAGCACCAATCCATGGTACAGCATTGCTTCATAGTAAAAATCTTTACTAATCATTAGTTTCTTGATCATTCTCCATGTCCTTAGCTTCAATACAGAAATGTAGTGATTGGAAGCTCCTGCGGTGGGCGTGGTAGCACTGTGTGGTCATCACGGATTGTGTGTGTGATCATACCTTACAACGGGCCGAAGTGCAGTTTGGAGGCTGATCTTCATGTCCAGTGGGTAGGCACACTGGAAGTTGACATTGACGAGGAAGTCCCTGATGATGAAATCAGTGGCCAAGGAGAGGTTGTTTCTGTAGATGGCATGGGTCCCATTGTTCTTTGGTATAAAAAAATGAAAGCACATGAGTTTATGCAGATGTGTGTAGGTGTTTATCTCGAACTCAGATCTGCCTGAGTCCGTAGTCAGTGTTCCCAGCCATGCAGTCACCCTGAATTCTGACACCCCCCCCCAACCCTTCAGAGAGTAAGGGGTCCTCTTTTTCCTGCAGCGCCAGTACTTACAGGAAGCCCAGAGTAAACACTAGAAACTGAATGACGAACCCTGGGGAAGAGTCAGGGGCTGCCATGCTTGCTCTTCCCACACCACCCCTAACGAAGATCATTGTGATCAGAGCTGACCTCACGAAGCTCAAGTGCTAAGCCCAGCCTAACCTCTTCAACATGGACCAACATGTGTAAATCCACAGAGCCCTGGCAGCCTGATGAGAACAAGCTATTTGCCTACAATCTCACTGCTCTAAAGATGCTCCCGTGAGCCCAGATCCCACCTGCTACTACAGCAGAGTGAATATCACTTACTTCCAGAATGTTCCCACAGGCATTATCCCCAACGGGGCTGGTGGCAGACACCCAGTTGTTGGGCTCATTCTGCATGATTCCACTACAGTTCCGGTCATTCAGGAAGGTAATAATCTCCTCCTTGAAACCCAGACCTCCCAGCAAGCACTTGTCCAGCTTCACCTTGATCTCACTAGGTCCACAGTCCAGCTCAGGCTGCAAACTCTGAGGATCTAGGAGGTCAAGAGTAAGGTCAGTGGTGTGGACAGAGAACTGGAATCAATGAGGAACGTCTTCCTTCTCTGCCTTTTGGCAAACTGATTATGCCCATCGAGCTGCAGGATAGACTAGATGGGGTCAGAGACCCCAACAGAAGTCACGCTCACACTGATAAAAAGAGGTCTCCAATTGAAGACTTCCAAGCATCTCAGATACAGGCTTGACTTAGCTGCTCTTGGAAAACCAAAGTGGTTCTATATTCGACACTAAACCAAAGCCAGATGCCCGTGCCACCAGTGTTCCACCAGCTGACTTGGAAGTCTGGTCTGGCCCCACCCTCTCTCACCCTTGCAAACCCACTGGCTTCATAACAAGTAGCCTAACTAAATCTCAAGATGTCCCCAGTGTCAGTTCCATGGCCCCTGACACTGGTCCCTGCCTTATCCTGACCCTGTCTCATTACTTTTGCCCTGTCTACTCAGCCCCAGGAGCTACTCACCAGAAACACTGAGGTCCGGATTACAGACACAGGTCCAGGAGCCATCTTGGAGTAGAACACATTTCTCCTCAGGACGGCAAGTGATATCACACTCGGTGGGTTCAAAGGTGGGTGCAGGGGTGGTCTTAGGGGTGGTTTTAGGGGTGGGTGCAGGGGTGGTTTTAGGGGTGGATGCAGGGGTGGTTATAGGGGTGGGTGAAGGGGTGGGTTCAGTGGTGGATTCAGGAGGGGGTTCAGTGCTGGGTACAGGGGGGGGTTCTAGAGGGACAGAAGAATAAGAATAAGATGCAGAGTGGGAAGGGTCTGAGTCCTCCCAAACCAACTCTCTCATTCCTTCAGTCTTTATAAACACATGAGATTCTTGCCAGAAGAGCCAAACCTCCAACTCATAGTTCCTGATTCCCATTTCCAGCAGAGTGAGTAACATCCCTGAAGCTGCCAGGCCAACGATTTTAAGTCCACAGTTGCCAGGGTTATAGGACCTGGGTTTAAAGCCTGGCTCTTCTGCATCCTAGCTCTGTGACACAGGGAGAGCTCTTGGACCTTTTTGTGCTCCAGATGCTAATATGAATGACTACATAGACCCCATTTCATGAACTGACTAGGAAGATTCAGGGAATCCATATGTTTAAAGTGGAATGGTCGCAGATGCACTGTGAGCAATGCAAGCTATTAGTTTTGCCCTTTTGTTTCAGATAAGAAAACAGGTTTTAAGAAGAGTAAAATTTGACAAAAGTAAAATTTGAATGAGCCTGGGTTCTTGATATGATTTGTGTGTGTGTGTGTGTGTGTGTGTGTGTGTGTGTGTGTGCGCGCGCGCGCGTGCTGTGCATGGATGTGTGGGTGTGAGCACTCACCTATGCACAGAGACTAGAGGAGAACATCAAGTGTCCTGCTCAGCCCCTCTTCACCTTCTTCCCCTAAGACAGAGTCTCTCATTGAACTTGGGTCGAGACTGGCAGCTAGTAAACCCCAGACTCCTGTCTCTGATTCCCAGTCTTGGGGTAACAGGCGAGCTTGGCTGCCTTCAGCTTTTTACATGGGTGCTGAGGGTTGTCCCCACAGTCCCCACACTCGTGTAGCAAGCACATTTTAGCTACTGAGTCTTCTAACTCGCCTGGAATTACGCAATATGCATTTATAATTCAGGCTATCTCATACTCAAATGTGAATCTCTGGCTTGTGCCTGGCAGTTCCCAAATTATGTTTCCATGTGTATTTCTGACAGGAGCCTAGTGGTGGTGGCTGCTTTGCTTAGTCTCCTCTTGGACCTTTCTGGATCCTCTGAGTCCTGGGCACTAAAAGGCACCCTGTCCTGCAGCTGCTGCTTACCTGTGCAGTATCTCAGACTGCATTCAGGGGTGCCCTGGAGCTTGTATACATGAAAGATTCCTGATTCTTCTGAGCAGGCCTTCACCTTGACCTCAGAACTCCAGAAGCAGCAGTTTTCATTCCAATTGGCACAGGCTGTGTGGCTGACAATGCCATCTTCCAGGTTGGGGTGAGCTCCATTCAGCCACATGGGAGCAAAGGTATGGCACCGGAATACTTCCACACAGGTCTCTGGCATCCTCACTCCTCCTTCACCCACAAAGCGGTACCAGCCCCGCAGATTGTCATCACACGCATCTGAGACCTCCGTGTACTCTGTGCTTCTGGATGGGTCATCCAGGGTGATGTAATTCTGACAAGGGTCAAAGCAGGAGCCAGACGCTCCACAGTCCAGCCCATCAGAGCCACTGTTCCTGGGGCCTCCATAATCTAGGATGAATAGAGAGCGTGCAGGTTTATTAAGCAACTCCATAGCCTTCAGGGTTTTTATCCCTTCTCCATTCTGCTTTGAATGCCCTAATGATTCCAGTGAGGCCAATAGGTGCACACTGTAGTAATTAATGCCAGACTTTGTTGCTCAGGGAGCAGAAGGGTCAGGAAGAACTTTCCATGGCATTTTGCGTGCAGCAAGGACATCCCAGCCACCACCTTACATAACCCCACTGCCCCACCCAAGGTTTCAAAGAGCTTCTCTGTGGGCCACTAGCAGGACACTGTGTGTGTCCCATTCAGTCAGTGTTTGTTGTTCTCAATATATCATGCAGGATCCCTGAGAAAATCCCCAGATATTAGTGAAGTGAATGAAGCAGAAACAAATGTTATCATGTTGCTTGATTTGGCAAAATATGTCATAAAATGAAAGTTGTCCTAAGTTGGACCCATCTCTAGAAGTAAGCACAGATTTGTTGTATAACCCTTAGGATTTTCCCATGCCTGTGCAAACACACACACACACACACACACACACACACACACACACACACACAGAGGGGGAGAAGAAGACAGAGAGTCATTTTAAAACATTGGTTGTAATCTTTAATGTATTACAAAAACAGCACTGTTCCCTATCAGTAGGTAATAGCACGGGTCGGCATCCACAGATCAATCAGGCCACTCAATCTCAAGCTTAGTATTACTGGTATATTATTGGCTGTGTTATTCACTATTGTGTAGCTGCCATCAAAACAGAATCAGAGAACCCTCGACCTCTACCCTCTCAATGCCAGTAGCCACTTCTGAAGACTTCGGGCATCACCGATGGTCCCAGAAAGCTGAAATCACCTCCACTGAAAACCACACATCTAACAGGGCCATTTCTGCTGCTGAGTTTTCACTTGGGGGTTGAGGGAGGGGGTGAGCCACAATGTATGAAGAGGCAGAGAAGTAACGAAGGAAATGGTCAGAGGCTGGAAGAGGAAATTTAAAGTCAACTCTGATCTGCTGGCTGGTGACCTTGAAAAGTGATAAAGCTCTCCTAGGACTCAAATGCAAAACCACCCCAATAGTTCAAGGTTTCCAGATACCCTTCCCACACCTCAGGCCCTGACATTTGTACACCTGTGATCTTGTTCCTGTGATTGACTTATAGAGACTTTTTCAGTGATTCCTTTTAAAAATTAAATAATTAAGGGATACTGAAGAGATAGCATGAAGATGTGAGATCCATCACAGAGAACTCGCTTTAATGAGCTGGGCACAGTAGCATGAGCTTCTGATCCCAGGGCTGGAGAAGTGGGAATAGGCAGGTCCTCAGGGGCTCACCAACCAGTCAACCTAAGCTGTGGCGGAAGTGAGAAACCCTGTCTTAAAAAGCAAAGCAGATGGTACTGGAGGAATGGCATCTAAGGTTGTTTTCTGGATTCCACACGTGCACACGCGTCCACACACACATACATGCATGTGCATACTCATAGTTATAAATATATAGATAAGTAAGTTTCATCTAGAGGAAGAATATCTCTGATAACATAGGAATGTAGGGATGGTTGTATTGTTATATTATTTAATATTCATAAGTAAATATACAACCATTAAAAAAAAATGAAGGGCTTTCCAGGCTGCCAGAGTCGCTTTGGGGAGGAGTGCTTCATTTTGGAGGTAAATACTTAAAGATAAAATGAGATGGTTACTGTACAATGCCACACACAACACCCAGATGCAGCCAGATACCCCTAGAATGATAACCTAAGCATCTCTTTGGGCTCACAATCTTATGTGCGCCAGTAAGACTTTGCTTTAAAAAGGCAGGGAAAGGCCATTTTCCAGTCTTGATCATGCCTGTGTTTGCTCTTAGGAGAGGAATTGTCCTTGTTATTCTTGGGTCATTTCCAGAGCACCCTGTTCTTTCCCACGGGAGTAGGAGCTCAGCTCTCGGAGCTCAGTTTTCTTCCCAGCTTCCCACCATAGGGATCCTCACATTGGCACTCCCAGCTGGGAACTTTTTCTGCAAGTGTCTGGGTTGCCCTCATTTACGGGTTTTAGAAGCTGTGGATTTAATCCCAGAATCCTGAAGGCTGAGGCAGGAGGATGGAGAGACAGCAAACACACACATACACACACACACACACACACACACACAGAGAGAGAGAGAGAGAGAGAGAGAGAGAGACAAAGAGAGAAAGACACACACACACACACACAGAGAGAGAGAGAGAGAGAGAGAGAGAGAGAGAGAGAGAGAGAGAGAAGACAGGAATATTGTTAATTCTAGTACCTTTGTTTTTACAGATAAGCAACTTGATAGGGAAGGTGAAAGGGGGTGACAGGGTGACCTTTTTATCTTCCAGTCTGTGCTCTCTGATCATCCTCAGAAAGGGGCTGCAGAACTAAGGTTACTGGCTCCCCTGCCCTTTAAGCAGAGAGATTGCTGCTTTCCTTGTTCTCTCTATCTCTAAGTCTTTGTTCCCAACTCCCTGTTCCTAGAACCAAACTGAGTGGCCTTTTCTGCTCCCTCCCTCTGCCCACTCCCTAGGTATTGCTGAGTATCTGTGACCCCTGGCGAGCAGATACTCACCTTGCTGTGTTGTTGTAGATGAAGAGGCCAGCATCAGAATGCAGGCCACAGCCAGCCACAGCAGGTCACAGCCCACCATCTTTCCCCTTAAAGTGAGGCTTGCAGGTCACACCGCAGTCTGCAGACTCTCCATGTAACTACAGGAAAGGAAAGGCTCGTGTCAGGTCAGGCCCACAGACCACTATGCCTGGGGGTGAGGTTGATACTCAGCTCAGCACCTATCATGTGACAAAATTTGCTTGAAGCCCTTTGCATGGTTTGCCTCACTTAAGTCTCTGCCTTACTCCACAGGAAGCTGCTATCATGGTTCCCATTTTGTGGTGAAGAAGTTTAGTTTCGAGAGTATGTTAAACCAAACCATATCTATACAGCTGCTTCTCTGAGCAACTATGGACATGGCATGGACCTGGCAACAGGTCCAAGTTTTCAAAAGCCAAACTTCTGGCCTGATGTGCAGAAATGGAGAGGGATGGGATTAAGGGCTTTCCAGGATGAAATCCATTAATGAGCAAGCCAAAGGTGGGTGAGCACTGCAGAATGTCCTAGAGTGGTGTTTGGAAATTTCCTGCGCAGGTGGAAATAGACACTCTCGAGAAATTGAAGGCAGGGATTCTAATGCCTGCTGGTACCTATGAGTAAGAGTGCAGTCTGTCTTAATCATATGCATCAGGTCCTCTGGGATTTCAAAAGCATAGTGCTATGTTAGATTAAATCCCAAGACCCTTTTCTCTCAGTACAGAAGATAGCACACACTGACTCCCAGTAAAAAAATTTACATGATAGAATAATTAATGAATGAATAATAAAAGCAAAGAAACAAGTAAATAATAGATAGATAAAATGTATGTCAACTTCAGGTGACATTTATCCTTCTATGCCCTGAAAGGGGACCTCTAGGTGATTTCTTGCAGCCTCTAAAAAATGTTCAGTTGGAGCTAGAAACCTGTTTCTGATGGCATATCATGAGTCATTTCAAGGATCAGAAGAGCACCCGGGACTGCATTTTGAGAGTCGCTAACCCAAGTGGAAACCTGTGTCTTTTTAGTAGGAAGGGAAAAGATGTCCTATATAAGCTGGCCAGAGCCAGCCAATGACTGGGACTGTGAGCTGACTGACCTGGGGAACATTTGACAATGGCTAAGGTCCAGAATCACTTCTGGGTTCAGAAAGTTTACAGATGCCCCAGGCAAGTCAAGTAGGTAAAAAGGGTGAAACTCACCTGCTGGTGAGGAGAAAGCTTGCTGGGTCTTGGATCAGGACTTACCGTCAGCGAAGAACCCAGAGGCTCCTTCCTCTTCTGTTCCTCCCAGCGTGGGAACAGATCTTGCTGCCTGCTTCATTTATACTGACACTCCCCACTCATGTGGCCCTTCATGATTGGTGCTGAGGGCGCTAAGTTCCCAGGCGCTAGGGCCTGTTGGCCGTAGGTAAGATAAGCCATTTACCGTAAGGGTGGTGAAAGGAGGGCTTTTGTGCCACCTGCATGGAAACTCTTCCAGAAGGTGCTATTCCACATGAATGGTTCTCCGCAAGTAATTGCAATATGTACTTAAGATTGCCTACACCAATCATTGCCAGTATCTTGCAATCATGATTTTTCCCATCTAATCCTCCAATAAACTCATAAAGCCAATGCCATGTTTATTCCCACAGAGCAAACATGAGTGAGAAGGAAGCAAAAATGCCCAGAGGAAAGTAGACAGAAACCAAATAGACTTGTTTGCTCAGTAGGTGTCCAGTGTAATGCCTGCTCCGAGCTAATTGCTATAGGATACTTCCTCTTTATTCACCTGGTCCCAGAGAGTACGAGAGAATGAAGGGGGTTGAGAGAATGCCATTCTTAAACCACAGAGTTTACCCCATTTCCAATGACATATTAAGAAATGGGTTGAATTGTACAATAGAAAGAGATGGCCAGGGCTTTTGGACAAAGTCAGCATTGGTATAGCCCCCCCTTCAAGTCCTTAAAATAGACGGGCTAGCCTAGACATTAGAAGGCACACAACTGTGAAAAAGACTCTAAAAGCTTGGTCATATCCAGCCCCTTACCCAAGTCTTCCAAGATCTAGTCCCATTGTCCCCTACCTAATGTCTTCTTTTTCCTCCAAGGCCAATTTGTACCGCCCAAATATTCTTGGATGTATGGGTGTCCCCTGGGGTGCAGTTGACCTACCAGGGGCTTCACTCTTAAACACCATGGACTTTCCCTCTCCCCGCCAATAGCATAGAAGTATTTTCTCAATCGTGGTTCCTCTTCCCTGAAAACACTGGCCTGTATCAAGCTGACAGAAGACCAACCAGAACAGGGGGCTTCAGTCCATCATGGCTGAGAGTACAGTATAGTTTAGCCTATGGCAATGGGAGCATGTGACAGAGGCTTTTCACATCACCAAAGACCAGGAAGACCAGTTTTATCCCATGCTTTTTCAGTCACAGTCCAGCTGGCCTTGGTGAGCTCCCAATAGATCAGCTCCACTGTCTCAGTGGGTGGGTGCTCCCCTCGTGGTCCCGACTTCTTTGCTCATGTTCTCCCTCCTTCTGCTCCTCATCGGGACCTTGGAAGCTCAGTCCAGTGCTCCAGTGTGGGTCTCTGTCTCTGTCTCCATCCATCACCAGATGAAGGTTCTTCTTACTTAGCTTCTTTGGAATCACCAAGTGTAGACTCCGTGACCCTTGTTTATGGCTAGAAACCAATTATGAGTGAGTACATCCCATGTTCATCTTTTTGGTTCTGGGATACCTCACTCAGGATAGTGTTTTCTGGTCTCTCTGAGCATGGCGAACAATGAGGGCTGATGAGAACCCAAGGACAATGGCACGGGGTTTTGAACCTACGTAATGTGCTGGCTTTGTGGGAGCCTAGCCAGTTTGGATGTTCACCTTCCTAGAAATGCACGGAGGGGGGAGGACCTAGGACTTACCACAGGGCAGGGAAATCTGACTGCTCTTTGGGCTGGAGAGGGAGGGGGAGAGGAGTGGGGGGAGGGGGAGAAGGGTGGGAGGAGGGGGAGGGAAATGGGAGGCTGGGAGGAGGAGGAAATTTGTTTTTTTTTTTTCTCTTTTCTCAATAAAAAAAAAGTTAAAAAAAAAAAAAAAAAAAAAAACAAAGACCAGGAAGTAGAGAGAAAAAACAGGCTGTGAACTCAGACCCAACCTTGAATAGTCTGCCCCCAGTGGTAGACTTCTGCCAACTGCACCTCATCTCTTAGGGGCACTACAGCATCCCAGAGAGCACCACCACCTAGGGAACAAATGCTGGAAAGAAGGGACCGTGAAGACCATTTTAGATTCAAACTATAGCTCAATTTCAAATTCCCCCACACGTTGAGTCCCATCTTAGATCACTCTCCTGAGTCCCAAGATCTTTCTGAGCTTCTCCTCTTGGGAACAGACACCCGAGGTCCCTCAAACTCAGCAGCTTGCAGTCGGAGTCCATCAGCTCTCCTGACTGCCCTCCTCTCCCTCTGTCTACCATCCACCTGGGCCGATGGCGGTGCTGCTCACCAGTCTTCCAAGCTGGAGACTTGACTCTTTCTTTTCTTCCTCAGTCCTCAATTCCAGGAAGCTCCGCATCTCATCGTTCTGCATTTCAAATTCCTCTTGGTTCTATCAAGTCTTCTTGGCTTTCACTTGACCAGTCCAAATGCAGGTCTCTATCTCGCGAGAGGGTGATTTTAGTGCTGGTTACAGATTGCTCTCTGTGCTTTCTCTCTTGCCTCTGTCTCTACAGCCTGTCTTATCCCCTGCTCCTAACTCACTATGCCCTGGGGATCTGACCCTGTTTACACTTCCTGCTTCTACTCCTACTTCGCTGTACCAGCTCTGCTTCAGCCAATGCCAGATTCTCTGAACTCTTTCTCATCCCCAAATGCTTGCATAATCGTCCCCCTGCCTAGATTGTTCCGTGCTCAGCGTTTTCCTTTTTACCACCTCTGCCAGGAAGCTAGGATGGAGAACCTAGCTCTACATCGAGTCTGGTCCTCTGCTCTGTCCCCGTGTCTCTCCAGGACAACTCCAGTCACATTCCCTGGTCTGGTAACTAGTCTGTCAAGTCTGCAGGTGCTTTGAGAACCTGGCTCCTGATCTTCACTGAGAAAGCATTTGTTTAGTAAACAAATGGACAAAAGCAAATGTATGTTCTAGGCCCCCTAACAAGAGTCAGGCGTCCCACGTCCAGGTGGCAGTCAGCCTTGATGGAGAGATGTAAGTTTCTGCCTCGGGATCTTTGCAGTTTCTATCCCAGCTACCTGTGACAATGTTCCCCAGCTGTCCCCAGCAGGCTGGTTCGCTCGTATACTCCGTCAGCTTCTGCTTGTCAGGGAGGCCATACCTTATCATACCCTATCATTCTTTGTGAAACGGCACTCCTTTTGGACTATTATGTTGTCCTTGCCTTTCCCCCTCCCCTGTGGCTGTCACCACTTGCCACATTGCATGGTTATTATTTCAAGGTATTGTCGTTACCAAAGTGGCTGTTTTGATAATTCTCTATTTCCTCACTACCATAAAAGTGTCTGGGATTTAATTTGGTATCTAATTAATATTAATTAATTAATAACTGGGGCTACATTAAGTTGTTTAACCAGCAGACAGAAAGCAAGAAAGGAAAAGACATGGTAGGGGTAGAGATGGCATTGGGACATTTCTCCTCTGTCCCTTACCCGGCCTTTGTCTTTAGCTTAGCCCTTGTTTTCCTTGACCCAGACCTTCCCTTCAAGTCCTGCTGCTCCTGAGTCACAGCACAGACCGTTCCATACGTACTCCCTCAGTCCAAGCAGAACACAGACTAACGTGGTTGGGATAGCACTGGACTAGCCTGTGGGTCACCTGCAGAGCTCTTATATAACAGCAAGAAGCCTGTATGTGCTGTGCGTGTCTGTGTGAGATAAGAGCTCTTAACATAAGACATACTGTTCCAGCAGTCCTTGCTTTGGACTCACACATGTGTCTTTCCCTGATCTGAGGCCTTGGCTGCCCCGGGAAGGTCCAGTGAGAGGCCAGGAAACCAGGTGGGTCAGAGAAAAGAGTTCCCATCAGCATTGGTGACACTTTTTTTTCTAGAGACTTTTGGAATCTCTGGGTGTCTGAGCGTAGATTGGATCTGGTTCCTGTCCATGGATAAAGCACCACAAAGTCTCTCTACCCACGGAAAAGGCTTAAGTGTACTTTCCTCTACTGCTGGGGCCTGAGAGAGGAGCTGCAGCTTTAGGATTGGCTGTAGAAGTCTTGTGAGCGGGAGTCCTAAGGAGACACAAGACACCTGCCATTGATTCTACATCTCTTCTCTAAGACTTGAGATGCCCAGAGACAGGAAAAGGCTTTGTCTCATCCGCCAATGTTTCTCAACATCCAGTGTAGGCCTGGAACATGTGAAGTCCCCAAAGTTCATTTGTGGAAAAGCCAAGTGTATCCTTGTGAGGGTACTCTTGACTGCCCCTATTGCAAAGAATCTGCCACCTGATGGAGGAAGGTCATTGGCTAATAAAAGGAAACTGCTTGGCTCTCATTGGTTAGAAGATAGGTGGGTGGAGTAAACAGAACAGAACGCTGGGAGGAAGAGGAAGTGAGCTCAGACTCCACAGCTCTCCTCTCGGGAGCAGACGCCTGAGAGAGACGCCATGCCCCGCTCCTGGGCAGACACACGCCATGAAGCAAGCCGCCAGGTTAGATATGCTGAACCTTTTCCCTTAAGACCGGTGCTCACAGATTATTAGAGATGGGTTGATCAAGATAACAGAATTAGCCAGTAAGGGCTAGGGCTAAAGGGCCAAGCAGTGTTTAAATGAATACAGTTTGTGTGTTGTTATTTCGGGCATAAGCTAGCCAAGCGGGCGGCTGGGGTGTTGGGGATGCAGCCCCGCCGCCCATATTACTACAGCCACCTCCTGATGTCTGTTAAACTCTCCATGACTGGAGTCCCTGGCAGCCTAAAGAATTGCATGTTCAAGTTCTGAGGCATGACTTGTGCCCGCATTGCTCACGGCCTGTATCCACTGTTATATACCTGGCATAGCTTAGTAACTGGTACAGTAGCAGCTCAGCAAATGTGTCTTTTCTAAGGTAGCATAGCAGAACTTTTGTTCTGAGATCCCAGTTTCTCGGCGCGTCTGTGAAGTCCATTAAGATAGGGAAAGGGTCTGCTTTAGTCCCACCATGTGATGCTCAGTACAACAGACAGTGCCCACAGTGATGGTGTGCTCAGTGAAGATTTGAATTAATGACTCCAAAAGCTGATTTTTTAAGCTTATTATTATTATTATTCCTTAAGGAGACAGGGGCTCCATGTGCAGATGTACCACAAGTCCCGTTTGGAGAAAGAGCAGCACTGAAGGATAACTACTAGGTTTTGAGTGTGAGGATGAAAGGGAGAGAGTAAGTGCAATCTGGGAGCAGTGTGAGTCCCTCTCCTATGGCTGGAAACCAGCCTGCAGCTCCCCTCCTGGCCGGCAGGAAGTGAGCTGGAAGCCACACCAGGTTTCCTTCTGTCCATCAGTGAGACATCAGGGTCAAAGTGACGGAGAGAAACAGAGGCAGCCAGATGCTCAGGAGCCCTAAAAGGAAAACAATTAGAGGGACATGGCACGTGCTGGTGGACTTTTGTGCAACGTAACATAAGACACTTTCCTACAGACTAGCCAAGAAGGAAGGTGCCCTATCTGGACAAGGAAGTTCAAAAAAGTTGTCTACACTAAACGGGGTGGGGGTGGGGTGAATTCAGGCTCCATTCCAGGTGGACTAGACTTGAAAAGACAGTAATGTCTCCTGAAGTACTTGGTGTGCACCCTTCATGCGATACCTAACAAACCCAACCATCCCAGAGACCTGAATGCTAGTCACAGAGGACACACCTATGTCATGGGAGAACCGTGACTTTCCAGCTCTGAGCTCAGGGGCAGAGAACTCATACCAAACCCCAGGTCATCATAGCAATCCTCTTAGACCCAGGTTCCACAAGCCAAGAAAAGCAATGGCTGTGTGGATTCAGTTTTCATCTGGGGTGACAAATCAGGCAGCAGGCAGCAGAAAAGGACAACAACAATGTCACCAGTTCCTGACTTTTGTGGTCTGAGGCTTGAAGACGCAAAATATGGAGCTTCTTGTTTGTCTGATATGCTCAGTGCACAACTAATCTTGGTTCTTGGCAAACAATGGCTCTCAGCAAATATTTGTAACCTGTAGAGCGGCTTGTGAGGTGTAAGAGAAGAGCTTCAGCTTCAGGGTGTGCCAAGAAAAGGACAGGTGTGCATGTCTTTGGGGAACAGGTTTGTAATAGATGTATGTGGACATCTGAGCCACTTACATGCATGCGGGCAACTGCAGCTGTGTGTCTATCTCTGTATAAAGCATGAACATGTGTGATCTGTGCCTGCAGATAGAAGTGAGTGTGATCAGCATGTGCATACATGAACGTCTGTGATCTGTATGTGTACATATGAGTATTGTGATATATATGCAAATATGAATGTGTACGGTCTGTGTGCAGAAAGGAGTGCGCACAGATATGAGTGTGTATGGTCTGTGTGTAGACATGAAAGTGGATGATCTATATGCAGATGTGAGTATTATAGTCTGTATGCCCATAAATGTATGTGCAGAGGTGAATATGTGTGATCTGCGTGTAACATGAGTGTGTGTGGTTTGTGTACAGACATGTATGTGATCTGTGTGCAGATAGGAGCCTGTGTGGTCTGCATACACATATGAGAGTGTGTGTGTGTGTGTGTGTGTGTGTGTGTGTGTGTGCGCGTGCAGATAGGAATGTGAATGATTTATGTGTATGCAGATATGTACAGGTATGCATACATGTAAGTGTGTGTGATATCTGTGAACAGATATGAACATATGCAAACAAACCTAGACACTGTGCTCTCTCAGGTTGTTGGGTCGTACCTGTGTTCCAGCACACTAGTATGGAACAGCACAAATGTGCGCATGAGTACAGGTGAGGTCCAGGCATTTCCAGGACAGGTCACCTTTGGCAGCTCAGGCTCTGAAGGCTAGGCCCTCCAGTCCACTCAGAACCCCAGATAGAAGCCGCAGCGGAGTGTCATGGAGCAGGTTACTATACAGAAAGGATAGTTACATAGCTTTCTCAAGTTACTAACTTACTTAAGTTGCTGGAAGCAGCCTTGGATACAGCAGCCTGGACTCCTTTGGGAGAAACAGAAAGATCCATGAGAAGTGAGGCACATGGCTTACAAGGAAGCTGAGACTAGTTCCCTCCGTCTTCTCCTCTTGCAACCAGGGTCATCTTTCTGAAGCTCACTCCCCCACACTGGATCTGTAGAAAGCCTCATCCATATTGCTTTCAGAAGAAAGACTAAAAACTTATTGGGATCTACACAGTTCCACAGGGCTAGCCTCGCCCATACTAGTTTAGCCACCACCACTGGCCTAGCTCCCCTCAGTTCTCCTAACAGGCTGGCTTCTCCCTAGTCTTCCCCCATCATCAAGACTCGGTCTGGTTCCTTAGTCAGAACAGCTTCAAACTCTGTGTGCTCTTTCTCCCTGCGCTCAAGGCAACTGCAGTTCTATGCATCTTAATGGTGCCATTTGGACAATGTTTCCCCAAATGATCCAGAAGATCCAAGGCAGTGGGATCTGTTCTGCTTGTCACAAGATGCTAAGCCATAGCGAGCACCAAAGCCTGTGTCTGCAATGGACGAATGAAAGGCTGCACTAGAACTGGTTAAAGAGGAAGGCAGCTGATCTCCCAGAGAATCCACTGTTCCTCACTTTTCCATTCCCAGTCAGACCTAAGAAGACAGCCTCTGCCACCTTGCCTCTTCCCCATTCAGGGACCTGACAGAAGAACAGATCTCTCACCTTGCCGTGTGATGGGGCCCAAGTTCAGGACCCGGGCCTGATCTATGAAGTTCCCACTTCTCAGTCTAGTACCAGAGCAGCTCTGCAGGGGAAGGGTGACACAGAAAATCACTCATGGTTAAGAGGAAGGTGACGTGTGATCCTGGCGTGAAAAGTGGGCAGCCAGCTCAGAAGAGCATCCTCCTGCCTCATACAGGAGATAGCGGATCATATCCCAGCCCCAGCCCTTATTGGGATTGTGGACTAGTCACTTCAGCTCTCTGAGCTTTTCCAATTGAGAAAATGAGCGAGTAGCTCCCCCGGTGAATTTCTGTGGCGTTTGAACACATTAAAACACCTGAGTTGCACACAGCACTGCAGATTTAAGTTACTGTTATGGGGAGAATAGCTTGTGCCTGCTAATAAGGTCTACTTATTGGCCAAGCCCCCTGATATCACCACTGTTTCCTGACTGCTAGGTAGCCCAGGTGTCCTGATTGGTCCTGTCCACTCTGTCTTGCAGCTATGTGTCCTTATGTTAAAATAGGAAAATGCCACAAATACGTGTCTTGGTGGTAGAGACGGGCACTCCAGCAGACTGTTGTGCGGGGCAGGGGTGCTTCCAGCACTCTTTTGTGGGGAGAAAGGGGAAGGGGGATGACTCACAGGCTTGCACTGTTCATTCACAGAGTCACACAGGTACACCTCACAGTGCAGGTAGACAAGGTCGTAATTTCCTGTGAACCGGAACATCTGAACAGAAAACCGGCCCTGAGGGGACTCGCCGTTCTCCACCACCTGAATGGTTGTATCCAATGTGTTTGGACATCTGAATGGGAACATTAAGACATACGGTGGAGTTGATTAAGCCAAGACTCTGGAGCTCCACTTCCTGGGCTTAAATGCCACATCGCCACCTGCTAGCTCATTAAACTTCTCTGTGCCTCAACGTCTCCATACACATATGGGAATAATGTTAAAAGATAACTGAGGATTACGTTATTTTTTTTTTCAAAGTGCTTAGAACAGAGTGAGGCACACAGTAGGTGATGCCTGTGACTGGGGCTAAAGAAAAATGATGAAATTCTTCAACCACAGAGTTGGAACAATCCAGAAGCTCATTCTCATTGACAAGGAAACATATTAAAGAATCATTAATGGGGGAGGGGGAGGGAAGTGGGACGCTGTGGCGGGGAAGAGACAGAAATCTTTAATAAATAAATAAATAAAAAGAATCATTAACTATTTCATGCTGTCAAATATGTGCCTATAATCGCAGAAACCAGGGAGTCCAGCCAGCCACTGAGCCAACCAAAGTGTGTGTACCCATCTGCAATGCGCACAGTGGCATCCAAACAAACCAACATGCAGAAGAAGCTCACATGTGTGCTGGGCATTCTGGGCAGGTCCTGCAGCGTGGGCTGCAAAGCCTTTCCCTCCCTGCTTCACTTGTCCAAAGGCGGCCTCCTCACTGTGTATTTCACTTCCTTTTAATTGCCTGTCTTGCCTTCAGAATTTAAGTTGTGTGAGGGTGGGTGGTTTCATCTCTTCCCCTCGCCATGGTACCCACAAAGTCTGGTACACAACAGACTTTCAAAATATCTGTTTAATTTATCTATAGCCTTTCAATGAAGAGACAGCACGCCTGTACCCTCCCAGTTTCAACCACTCCTTGGCTAACCATGCCCAACCCCTACTCTTCCCAGCTGGGCACTGGCTGCCTGTTGCTCTGATCCTGCCTTTTCATCAGATTTCTTATATGTTCTAAGTCAGGGATGCCCACTTGGCCTGCCAGTGAACATGTGCAACCCTCTTCAAATATAATGACATATTGTATAAAAATAAGATATTTCAAAAAATACCAAGAAAACCACTTAAATCAAAGCGCACTTCTTAAAATGTTAAAACATTTGATATGTGTGCTTCACATACTTGTGAAAATACAGTTGATAATGTATTGCATAAGATGATCTAGGGAGTCCTAATGAATAGCACCTAAAAACTACTGAATAGCATAGGTAGGGCCCTGTATTCAGGTTGAGCCAAAATGCTAAATTTAAGCTAAGGGTATATAAACATAAACATGTATTCCCCATCCAAATCGAATCCACTGTTTTACCTGTCCTGGATAATGAAGTATTTTACAGGGTCTGTGGCGTTGCTACTCGGCGTGGCATAGCAGTTGGTCATTAGCAGTACAAACCGGGACACGTCACCCCCATCCAGTATGGTGCCCACATACAGAAAAGCCTCTGTGGACAGCATCACAGAGGAGCCTTGGTAGGGCTGTGTGTAGGCAGGGCTCTGGAACAGCGCCATCCGCACGGTGAACATGCCTGTCCCACCCAAGCTGATGTTCAGGGAACTGCAGAGAAAGAAGAGCTGTTAGAGAGGACCAGGTTGAGAACATGCGCAGATGGCTACCCTTTCTGACCAGCATTCTCGGACTGTTCCTTGCAGGTTTCTGACTGTCTCATTCAGTAGCAGGCCTGAAACCCTCACCGCTGCTTGGCAAACTTCTGTGAGCACTCAGAGGCATGGGGTGTTAGGGGATGCTGGAGAGAAGCCCTCCCTGACTGAGCAGGTCTGTGGTGGGTCTCGAAGATCCGCATCTCTAACAAACTCATCATTAGTGATGCTGGTGTTACAGATCCATAGACCATATCTTGAGTTAAATTTCCAGGGCACTGTGGGTGCCCCCTTCCTACCATCCTTCAAAATAGAATAAATTCTTCGGGGACCTACCTGGGCTTCTTGAGTCTCAGCCTGCAACAGGTAAAAAGAGATGAGCTATCAGGAGCCCTATAGACTTGAGTTCTGAAGCTCTGTCAAGGTGTTCCTTCCAATACCGACATCAGATTGGGTCTTATAAATGGGCTGTTTTTAATCTAAACACTCATACTGGTGTGAATTTCACTGCATTATCTCTCACAGGATACAGAGAGAGAGAGGTGTCACATAAAATAAGGTTTATGAGAATTGCCCAACAATACAAGGATCTGCTTCACAAGAGAGAACAGGATGAGACGTTCTTGAGCCCCAGAGAGGCTTGCTCACATACCTGTTGCTCTCAGACACCTTGAAGGGAGGCCTAGGACATGGCCACATTACTCCAGGGCACTACCTCACCTGGTCGTACTCCATCCAATAGACCGATATAAGCAAGTCACACACATATCAGTCCAGCATTCTTAACATGTTTCTGCCATACTGCAAATGCTCAATAAATACTAGTGTTTTCAGCTGTCATCCTTCCCACATGAGCATCAGTGGCCTGTGGCCCATCATAGGGCATCAGTGGCCTGTGGCCCATCATATTCAAAGACTTTCAATCATACATAGTAATAGGATGCTATTTTCCACCAAATGGATGGAGCTTTCCTGGTTTGCCTCTCCAGCTAGCTACCTCTCTACCCAAAAAAAGACACCTCTGAAGAGTGTGATCTGTAAATGCTTCTTTAATCATAGATCTTCAATTCAGAGAATGATGGAAGCTGAGATCTAAATTAAAGCTATGCTTGTTCAGAATCCCCTCCAGAAGCAGGGCCACCCAAGCCCTCCGAAAAGACAGACTGATAATTGATCCCCTTTGCAGAACATGACTGTCCTTAGAAAAGCCATGAAAGTACTATTAAAGGCCCCTGGTAAATGAGGACAACAGTTAGACGGTTGCTATGGGTTCCCAAAGCTATCCACTTAATAGATGGCAGAGCCTGGGTTGAAATCTGAATTCTGGAATTCCTCACTGTGTCCTCGCAACCCTGCATCTCCAGACTCCAAAGCCAGTTCCCACTTGTCAAGGCAGCTGAAGGTCTCAGGACTGAGGGGCTGAGGGGTTACAGGGCTGTGGGGTGAAGCCTCCCCAGAGCACTGGAGACCCCTGATGGCCACACCTGACCATGGGCTGTAGGGAGGTCTTCAGGCTGACTTTCATGTCCAGGGGGTAAGAGCATTCAAAGTTGATCCTGATGTTGATGTCTCGGATGATGATCTCATTTGCCAGGTAGAGGGTGTTGCTGTAGGTGGCATGGGTTTCATTCGTCTGTGTTGAGTGAAGAGGAGTAAGGAGAAAGAGACATGAGAACCCAAGCAGAGTTTTACAGCCAATGTGTTGGTCTATGGAGTCCTGAAAGCTGCCCTCCCCATCTGTGTGTTACAATAGCAGTGACTTTAGGAGCAGAGGTCATGTTCCAGACACTGAGCTACATTCTCCTCCTGCATCGTTCTACCAATGCTTCCCACAACCTAAAGAGGGCAGGGCTGCTGAATCCCTGCTTTGTGGATAAAGGGATGGAGGTTCACGGTTCCCTGAGAACTGAGTCCATCCATACAGAGCACAGGATCTGCAGGTTTCCTCTTGAAAATCACGAGCAAGCTGTCACTAATTTCATCACACACTGTCCTTGACAGTGACAATCTCTCCCTCCCCTCCTTTCCTTTTGCTCATCCCCATTTTCTTTCCAGGGATGGAGTCAGGAGGAAGCTAGGTGCCAGCCTCACAAACACTTAATGGTTGATCTTCGCAGAGGCCTCTGGGGGTGACATTCTTCTTGGGATCCCTGAACACAGACAGACTTGCTTCTGGTCCCAGGGTGAACCTTAGTTCACCTTAGGCCATCATTGTCAGCCTAGCCCTTTTTTCCCATCTGCAGAAGGGGAGGTCATCCTTACAGATCAAGCTCACACCAGACACATGGATTAATTTAACCCTAACATCCCTACAGAGAAGTGGCAACCCCTCCGAGTTGAAGTCAGGTCAAACAAATCACCCAAAGATCCAACAAGGTGTGGACTTGGACCTTACATAGGCACCAGTCACTCCAACCCTGATGTTACCACGGGCAAGGACTTACCCTCAACACTGTCCCACAGGGGCCATCCTGGGCAGGTGTCACCACGGACATCCAGTCTCGTTCACCCCTCTCACTGAAGCCCGAGCACTGGCTGTCACTCAGGTACATGAAGACCTTCATAAAGCCCACACTCTGGAGCTGGCATTTGCTGAGGGATATTTTGATGTCATTGGTCCCACACTCTAACTTGTGATCCAGGAGAGATATATCTGAAAAGGCCAGGGACAACAAGATCAGGAATCTTCTCCTCCAGGGCCAGGCACGTCCCCAGGGACACAGCATGCTTGCTGGACTGGCCATCAGATGGTGGCACTTAAGATGCCTTGGGTTAATCATAGTCCCCTCTCAGCCAAAATTAAATTATGAACATCACTGTGAGGATCCAACCATCAACCATCCAGCTCCATGTTCCCCTTAGAGTGCACTGTATATACAATTTAAGGTAGTTTGAGGGTCTTTCACTGGCCCAGCCTTAAACAACATCCAACCGATATGAAGAAAAAAAAAAGAGAAAAAAAGAAAATGCTAATTGCCACCCTCTGGCATCCTTGCTACACACAGGTGCCAGGCCTCCCATTGGCAGTGGCTCTGATGATGTTGTTGGTTAGTTTCCCTCTCAGACAAAGAGCAGGCTCGAAGTTTGGAGAAGGCAATAAAGAATAACTAGAATTTTTCCTTATTTTTCAAGTATTCAGGAGCTGGTGTGATGGCTCAGTGGGTAAAGGTGTTTGCTGCCAAGCCTTACTACCTGAGTTCAGTCCTTAGGACCTGTGTGGTAGAGAGACAAAGAACACTCAAGCAAGTTTCAATTTTTGGAAGGGTTTCTTACTCCTTCCTTTTCAGTGTGGAGCACTGCAGCTCTGTAGGAGGGCAATGGCTTCCTTACCATTGTGTTCCTTTGTACATGTAACGTTGTGACATTTTACTTGTAAACGCAGCAGGGACACCCATACCCTGAATCAAGCTCAAGGAAGCCATCCCACCAAACTGGAGAGGAACGTCTTCATCACGACATTTTGCCACACAGACAGTACTTGGAAAGAAGCAGCATCAGACAGTGGGCATGACACGTGACCCAAGTCTGGAAAAGACCTCACCATCTTCAATGACACCATGAGGAAATGGGCTGAGAGAGGCCCTGGTCCATGCCCAGCATCCCGCACTGGCCACAGAACGGCCGGTCGCCGTCAGTTTCTGATGTGACAGGTGGCTCAGTAGTTTCTGGTTACTTCTGGTTACCTGGTGTGCCTTTGGAGCCCACTGAGGAGGAGCCTCAAACAGCCCAGACTTTTAGTGACCTTTCCTTCTCACTGATTAGCTGTGTGTCCTCTGGTCCCAGACCCACACAAGCATGGGCCTCACCCCTAAGCGCTGATCACTTTCTCAACCAATCGCCCTCTGGGCCTCACCTGTGATATTGAAGTCCTTTTTACACTGACAGCGCCATCTGCCGTTTTCTGATATGCAGTCCTCGTCCACCCCGCACTCTTCGCAGGTCCCCTCCACGGAGCCAGGATCTGAAACATCATCAAGACAGTCAACAGCTTGTTCCTTAAGACTCCTGCAGACCAAAGAGTAGGTAGGGTGCAGCTCTGCTCACCTGTGCAGTAAGCCAGATTGCATTCGGGGGCCTCCGTCAGGTTGTAAACATAGTAGCCACCTGTGCAGGCCTTCACCTGAATCTCTGTGGACCACAGACAGCAGTTGCCGCTCCAGTGCGCACAGGCCGTGCGGCTCACGATGCCCTCGTTGCTCGATGGATGCGAGCCATTGAGCCACATGGGCGCAGCTGTGTTGCATCTCTGGACCGGCACACAGGTCTCAGCCATGCTCACGCCACCCTGGCCCATGAACCGGTACCAGCCATGCAAATTAGAGTCACAGGAGTAGCCGGCACCATATTCCGTGCTGCGCCAGTACTCGGCCAGGGTCTCATGCACGTTGCAGGGGTCTACACACACTAGTGCTCCCCCCGGGCCCTGGGGCAAGCAGTCCAGATCGGGACCACAGGAGTCTGGGGAGCACTCACAGTGCCGACCATCCCCTTCGTAGCCCTTGGGACACACGCACGAGTAGTTGCCCTCCGTGTTGACACAGGTAGCTAGTGCATGGCAGTCACTGAGTCCCAGCTCTGCGCATTCATCCACATCAATGCAGCCCAGCCCAGGCGTCAGACGGAAGCCATGCCGGCAGGCGCATGCGTAGGAACCCAGTGTGTTCACGCAGACGCTGTTGGCAGAGCAGTTGTGAGCCTGAGGGATGGCACACTCATCCACGTCCTCACAGTGCAGCCCGTTACCAGTGAAACCCAGCTGGCAGAAGCATGTTGTAACCACTCCATCCACCATGCAGGTGGCGTTGCTGTGGCATTCGGAACACCTTACTGTTGATAGAAGAGCACAGTCTCAGAACCCCCGGCAGCTGGGCAGATATCCCAAAACAATGTCTTTCTTGCTTCTTAAAGAACTTGTTATCTTACCGCCACCCTTGGAACCTGCCCATCCAACCAACGAGTAGATTCTCATATTCATCTAGTTAAGCATGGCCTTTCCTTTGTGCCTCCTTTTAAAACGTCCACATTGTCACATCCAAGGGCAGAACACACCAATACCCTGGGTAACTGGGGAGGATGTGTGACAAAGCTGCCACCCCTTCCTAGTCTGCCCAGGTCCTCTCTCTGCCTCTGCAGCCTTCACTAACACCCTTCCCTGTGTCCCTTCTCTCTGAAGACTGTTCCCAGCCCATTTGACAAGACACTCACACTTGCTTTCAACACTGAAAAGGAAAGAGCCGTTGTTTAGCATCACGTACTGCGTGTCGGACACAAGGATGTGCACCTTTCATTCTGGAGCTTACTGACCAGCGGCCCCCTTTTAATTTATCTTTATTTACAGACATGAACATTGAGACTCAGAAGGGGTAAGTCCCTCACAAGTTGCCAAACATGATATACACACATGGCATGACCACAGAACATGTGCTTTTAACCACGACCCCACAGTTGTATTTACTATGGCTCCACAGTACTCCAGGATGGAAGCCCCGTGGAATGACCCCACACTTAAAGGAGTTACATAAACTTCAATTCATTTATGTAACTGAGCATGCTTGTGACTTTACAATAAAGTGCAAGAAAGATTCAGAGATGCTCTAGCCCAACATCAGCATCACCCAAACTTTGTTATTTCTTCAGAGTCTCGGGCCTCTTGTCAGACATACTAAAGCAGGATTTGCATTTTAGTAGAACTTCTGAGTGAGTCTGGGCACATTACAATCCATGAAATGGGCTTAGGATACAGATCATGTCAAGTGTGCTAAAAGAAGGATTAAGATTGCTTAATCTTAATTAAGAATTCAATTAAGCACAGGGAAGAGTACTACATACACATGCACACACACGCACCACACACACACACGCATGCACAAACACTCACACTTACTTGCTTCTGATGAATCATTGGCTCCCGCTACAGTGAGCCAAGGGGTTACCATCATTACCACCAGCAACCCGGTCAAAGAGCACAGCCGCCTCATCCTTCCTGCTCTTCCCTCTATTTCTGGTACTGGAACACCTGCCCAAAGGTAAGGATGGGTTAGATGCTTTCCCTGTGTTTCTGATGCCTGGGATCCCGAGAGCAGAGATGAGTGAGGCACATGTGTGGTCTAACTCCCCTCCCCACAGACAGAAGGAATGCCTCTGTTGCGCACTGTTGATAGGGATCAGGAAAACTACAGGGCTGCAGCTCTAGCTTTGGTGGGCTTCCGTGTGTGTGGACACACCCCTGCTCCTTACCCATGCCCCATACCCCGTACCCACCCACTCATGTTCCGTACTGCACATTTTGAAGAGCTAAATCTTTTGTTTGGAGCAAAAAGTCACAAGATGGGCGGCGGGGGGGGGGGGGTGCTTTCTACTCAGAACCTTATTAGAGGCAGCTTTGGGTTTTTACAGGTTGTTCTTGATTGTCTGAACTTACAGTTTGCTAGCACCGACCTATTCATTCGACAAATAGTTACTGATTAATACTAGACACCAAACAGAATAACGAATATAGTTGACATCTTTGCACAAGTCTTGTAAAGGAAAGACACAAGATAAGGAACTCTGGAGATGACTAACTTAACAACAGTGCATATTACTGTTTTTCAAAATGGTTGTGGTTGCAACAACCAAAATCATTCTAGATGGATACAAGTATTACCCTAAGTTTTATAGCAGCAAGCGAGGATGGCATCAGAGGTAAACTCTTAGGAACTGAGCTGAAACAGAGCCCCGTCCCTGAGTCACCTCTCACAGGACTGTGACACCAGGTGATGTGTTCTAGTCTTCTCGTCTATGCAGTTGGGACCTCCTCTTCCACTGGCTGGTGTATAGGAACTGTCGGGCCTGCTTCTCTATGCTCAAAGAACTTGTACTGCAAGGACAAATGTTCTCCGGCCTGGGGGGATGGCTCAGTAGTGAAGAGCGCTCACTGCTCTGGCAGAAGACCCAGGTCAGGTGCCCAGCACCCATATTAGGCAGCTCACAACTGTCTGTAACTCCAGTTTTAGGAGAGCCAAAACCCTCCAGCCTCAGAGGGTACCCGTGCATAAATGCTGCACATAAATCATGCAGTTACACACACACACTAGCATAAATAAAATGACAGATATTAAAAAAAATGGTCTCTTGACTTCTGAGTCTGAGATATAAGAAACACACACACACACACAAGTAAAGGTTTATAAGATGACTCCTATCCTTACAATGTATGTTGCCTGTTGACATGGTCTATTTAATGAAGAAAATTCTGATAGAAACCACATGGTATAGTTTGAAAAGCACTACAGCACTCCTCTGGCTAACTAAACATTTGCAAGGACCCAGCACATAGCAGACGCTTCTATTGACTGCCACAAGCCCAGTACCTAGCACATAGTGTGAGCTTCAGGAAAACCACTGAATGAAGGAACATCAGCTTGCATGGCTATTTCAAAAGCTTTGCCTCAAAGAGAAGGAAGTTGCTATGTCACAGACCACAAAGTTGACTCTCAGTGGAGTAATGAGTCTGGCTGCTCTGACCCCAGTATCCAGATGCTAAATTTCCTCTCCCACCTCCCTAAAGGAGAAAGAGAATAGACAGAGAAGAAGTGGATGCAGAAGATGACAGCTCCAGTTTGCCTTACCTGAACCCAGGAGGACAGGACTGGTCCATTCACAAGCAGGTGTTTCTGATCAATATATATACACCTGCCCTTGGCAGGCACTCACTCCTCCAGTTATTCTCTACCCCTGCCCCTTGAGATTGTTCCTGTGGGGGCAGAATTTTTCTTTCCTTTTGGCATAGTGTTCACCTTTTCCAAGCTATGAGACCGTGGTTGTTATTTTTCCCTAATAGTTAGAGACACAAAATTATTGACATTGAGGGTCACACCTGTTCCTGGAAATACAAGGTCTCTGTGTTTCAACTTTTGGCAGCAAGGCATTCCTCAGTTAGATATTAACTGGCAAAGCGGTGCCAAGATTCTGGGCTTTTCCTTGGTCCTGGGCAAGGACGAGGTGGGACCCAAATCCAGGGTACCAAGCAGAAGGCAGTATCTGAAAGGTGCCTGTGTTAGGATAAGAGGAGTACTAGCTTCGCAGTCTGGAATACATTCCTGCTCTGAGGAACAGCCTCAGAGCAGCTCTCTTCTCCAGAGTTCAGATAGGAGCAGGAGAGTTGCTGAGAATGACATCAGGCCACAAGACCATCTGGACATCCTCTGTCAGACAGAAGGCTGAGATCCAAACAGTGAGGGTTCCCTGGGATGAGAAACAACCTTAGAATTGAACAGGCTGAGTTTTCCTGGGTCCATAATGAACTGTATCCCGGGGAATTTAACTCTTCTCTTCCATGAGACCATTTTCTTCTCCTCTGAAATGAGATGCCCCTCGCTCCCCATGAGCAGTGACAGTGGCGGACAGAGATGATGCAGGTGGAAATACATGGTGATGTTTGATTCGAGCCGATTCTGTGACAGATGCTTTGCTGATAGGGGGTCATAGAGATAGGGTCACTAGAGGTCAAGTCACAAGTTACACATACCTTCTGACCCAATCCCATGAAGGTGACAACCCAAAATTTGGTAGAATAGATGTCAATATGTTGAAAAATATCCAATACATGTACACTTTGACTGCATAAGAAGCATGAGGATGACAACCACATTGACTTTTGCTTGGGACTTTTTCTGTCCCCTTCTTAATTTCCTAGAAGTGAAAGTTCTGGGTCAAAACAGTGTGTACTTTTAAGAATATTGATAGCTCTTTCCAAACAACATCCCAGTGATATTTTTAAAATGAATCTACAGGGACTAAGGATGCAGCTCGGTTGTGGGAACACTTGTATAGCATGCACGAAACCTTGGACTCAGTCCTTAGCACAGCATAAACTAGGTGTGATGGTCCATACTGTAGTCAGACTGCTTGAGAGTAGGGACAAGAGGATTATAAGTTCAAGCCATTTCAGCTACATAGTGAGTTTGAAGCCATCTTGGGCTGCATGAGACCCTGCCGCAAGCAATGCAATAAAATGTAATAATGATTATAACCTTTCCTCTAGTCCAAATTAGTTCTGAGTATAACTTTAGCATCACTTTAACCAACCTTCCATCTTCTTTGCCAAAAACCAATGAGAAATATCTTCTTATTCACTTTTGTAGTTTGTTTTTTTTTTCTTTTTTACAAAAAAATAACATTTCTACCTCATTTGTTTATTTGCCACATATTTTTCTCTTTGTAACTTTAGTCATTGGTACCCTGTGCCTTTCTTACAAGGGCCCATGTGAGGGCTACTCTAGTATCACTGGTGCCCCTCCTGGATTTAAAGATTTTCTGTGGCTTGCAGAATCTGGCAAAGATTCAGGCAAGAAAAAGGAGAGTCTGGGCTAGTGTCTACTCTTAAGTGTTAGCTAGCACCGTGTTTTCTCATTTCTAGATTTCATGTTTTCTAGTCTGGGTGTCTGGCTGGTTCTGGGAGGGCAGATATTCCTGGGCTGGCTAGTTCCTGGAGATGCAGACATCTTGCTACAAGGAGCCTTTCCTATGTCCGCCAACCACTCCAGAGCCACACTTGTCTCATCATTGGTGGGGCTATCATGCAGGGCTACTATTCCTTGCTCTGCTCACCCCAGGAAGACAGCTGGGATTAGAAAACTAAATACAGCTGCCGTTTCCCAGAACTCACTGAAATTCAAGAAACCAACCTTTTTTAGACTTGCTTAGCCCACCCTCCTTTCCTACCTGAAGAAACCTCAGTAGGGTACGAGGAAAATAACTCAGTCACTAAAGTGTCTGCCAAACAAACAGAAGGACCTGTGTTCAATCCCCAAACACTCCCATAAAAAGCTGGGTATGAAGGTGTGCACTTATTTTAATCCCAGCACTGGGAGGCAGAGACATGCAGATTCCTAAGACTTGCCGGTGGACCAGTATAGCTTGTTTGATGAGTTCTAGGCCAGTGAGAGACCCAGTCTCAAAAACAAGGTAGATAGGGCCTGAAGAATGGCACCCAAGATTGACCTCTGGCCTTCACATGCTCACGTGCACATGTATGCACATTAGCACACCACACACACACACACACACACACACACACACACACACGCATGCATGCGTGCACACTCACACACAAAGAAAAAACAAAGACTTATGCACTCCTGACCCTTCTGCTCCCTTCCTTCCTGACTCCTCTGGTACTTCTGCACATACCTTCCTCCTCCATTCCCCTGGCCTCCCTGGCGTACACGCCCCCTTACCTTAGGATCCATGAACATAACAAACAACTTGTTGATGGCAGTGTCACCTTGCCAATGGCCTTGTCTTACTGTCATACTAAACCCCACATTTTAAGAGAAGAACCATTACTTTTATCCAATATAGCTGGACCATTTTTGGTGTGTCTCCATCAGTCATTTTCTTGCTCATCCTACCTTCCTTAATCTTTGTCATCTCTTGCCAGTTATGTACACTAGATGACTTCCTGGCATCCTTCATGGATGCTGTTGGTCCCTCATCTTCTCGGGCTATCTGCATCTCTTCTCCTTGGGATGAAGACCACACCATTCACTTCTTGGGACGATCCCTCTCTCCTCTGGTACTCCAATATCTTCCCTTGTCTCCTTCATTTATCCTCTCCTCCCATGTAGACTAACAACCTTCAGAGACACTTCTTTGATCCAACACTCGCCATGCCCTATTTTTCGAGACAAAATTTCTCAGAGGATGTGTATACTCTCTCCAGTTCACACTAGTGTGCTTTCTGAAGGGCCAACTCCACTGAAATTACTCCACACCACCGAAGACAACCATGCTGCCGGATGCACTCTCACTCCTCACTCAGTATATACTTGTTTTTGAAGGAGACTTGGTTCCCTTGAAATCTCTTCTCTTTTAACTCCCCAACACAGACAAGGCATGACAACTGTTGTTTACCAAGGTCTTCTCTTGGGGCAGACAATTTTTTTATTAAAAATAGATGTTTTTATTCACAATATACTTTGATTATGGTATCCTCCCCTCCCCCCTACTCTTCCCAATTCCTCCTACTT